ACTCGCTGCTGCGGCTTACAACTATTAATTATGCGGGCCAAAGTTATGACAGCAGAAAACAGCCGCAGAACTCGGGGAACGCGAAACTAAAAACTGCCAACTGCCAGCGAGCAAAGGGAAGCGCACATCATAAATTATCCAAGCCCAGGACACGGCCATGGAGCACAAGGATGTGCCTGCTCCGGCACCGGGATCTGCCGCTGTGTGTGCGGTAAGCCGCCGCCTGTCTTTTGGCCATGGCAAACAGCTTCCATGCATCCAAAAATATTCGAAAAATTTCAATGGAAGCTGGAAGTGGAGGAGCCTCCTGGCAGCAAAGGTATCCTGGCACGGCACGGCACGGCACGGAACAAAATGGCTACCGCAGAGAGCGCACAAAAAGTGTCATGGCGCATGAAAAACTTCCTGCACGGGAGTGCTGCACGGCTCGGCCCCAGAACTTCAGCCTGTCCGACTGTCCGTCCGCCTGTCTGTGGCCCAAAACAATGGCCGAGCTCCTCCGCAGTTTCGGCAAATGAAAGTCGCATTGTCAGGCTCAATGTTTCCGGGCGGCTCATGGATGTCCTCGGCCCGACTTTCAGCCTCCTCATCCTTCCATTTTCCTTCTCAGCCAGGCATCCAGGCATCCAGCATCAGCGTCTGAGTCTCTGTTCCCTGGCCCGGGGCTGGGGAGCCTGAAACAAAGCGCATCCGTTTGGCGAAAATTGAAATGACAAAGTTCAAAGTTTAAGCGGCTTGGCTGTCAGTTTTTCAGGGGCTCTTATAGTGCTGCGTTTGGTGCACCGAAAAATATTTCGAAGATCGATTCGGGATTTTTTTTGGTTGGGCTTTGAGTGGGGATTTGTGTCTAAAGAATTAAATTAAAGAATTTTTTTAATTTAAAGAAAAGGTTATTATTATTATGTCTTCAAACCAACCCCTTTTTTGTCACCGTGTGACAGGGATTTAAGTTCCCCAACCGCAGGGCTAATCAGCAGCCAAACACACTCAAACCCCATCGATGGCGGCGGTGTGACTTGTCTGTGGTGTAAATTAAAAACGGCCGAGGGCAAGTGGAAATTAAATTGCCTGCAGTTAAAAAACACTTTGGCCAGGCACCCGCACTGGCTGTGTTATAAAAGTCAGTTCCCGTGCGACACGCCAACAGCCCCTGGGAAAGGCAAAACCAAAACCAAAACCAACACCAGTTACCAGTAACTCCGCCGCGGCATTTGCATACTTTTAAGCGCAGATGAGCAGAAATCACTCATACGCACGGGGCGCTGCCACCGAAGGGGGGTTGATGGGGCGGAGCCAAAGCCCTGGGCTCGGCTGCCTGCTCCAGCTGTCTGATTTTCTTGATCCTGTCGCTCCTTGTTGTGTTGTGTGTTGCGGCATAATAACCGTATTTGCATTGTGTTTAAACGTATTTGAACACGGCTTTCAGGGAGAGAGAGAGAGAGAGAGTTGGGGGATTGGATAAAAAAAGGGGGGCAATCCGGCGCTTACCAAATGAGCAGGCAATTTATTTACGGTCAAATTGCGAGGTTAGACAAGGCAAACAATGCCGGAGCAGGTCGCAGGCGCAGTGGTAGCTGCGTGGTGGGCGTAAAAATGTGATAAATATGAAATGTGATTATGGCGGCTATTATGTGGCACCACGGCCTGAGCAAGAGGATGATGATGATGGGGCTTATTATGAAGTTGATTTCGAGTTGGTTGCCTTGGGCGTCGTTTTGAGTGAGTGGCTCCTGTCTGTCCTGGGTCCTGCGTCCTTTGTCTTTCTATCCCGGCTGTGGTGGCCTCTTCTTTGAATGGGAAAATGAGGAAATGTGATTTTGACGATGTGTTGACTTTACTACGGCAATGAGTTCTAGCTCGTGTGAGCTCTGCGTTTCCCTGTTTGTTTTTCCGGGCGCCCGGAAGTTGTAATTGTTTTTTAAAGGAAACTGGAATTGCTCATTGGGGAAATGCATAAAATAAATCAAGGGCAATGACTGTAATAGAGAAATCTGGGAATGAGCAAGGAAATGTCTCAAGATATATATCGAAATAAGAGAGGGAAGGAAGAGTTACTTATGTATATTTTTTAAACATAGATATTCTTCCACTTATTAGACTCTGACTTGATAAAATATATTATATACCTTTTCTTTATTTACTTTTCTAAAAGTCACTTCATAAAAACCCGTGTACTTCAAGGTATTCGCTACCTGTGCTATATCTCCTTACCACCAATTTGCTTACATTAAGTTCAACAGCAATTGTTTTCACCCCACCAACTTTGGTCCTGGGAAAGGAGCGGCCGCCGCCCCATAAATGTCTTTATCAAGTGGCAGGCAGCGAACACAAAGCCATAAAATGCTAATCCCATCATGGGAACAATGAGCAGAGCGGATCGGAGCAGAGCGTTTGCCGTTTAGCGAGATGCCATCGCCGCCATCAATTGATACATCAGTCGATAAGGCAGCAAGACATCCTGTGAGAATCGGGCTTGGTTCCGTGACTTCTGCGGCACGGGGCTAACAGGATTTTGGCCACGCTAAATCAACGCGATTCGATGTGGCTCATTTGAGTGCAGCTAAGGGGAACAGGCAGGCATATCGCCGGAGCAGCCACCACCCAAGGAATTCGTTGCGCTTTGTTGGAATTTGCCATGCTACAAATTCGTGGCTCATGGGAACTGATTCCACCGAGGGTTGGCTGCCGGCGCAAGTGTGGAAATATTGAAATTCGAAATTCATTCTTGCCAAAAACTCTTGATGATGGCGCGGGAACATCCTTCTTCGTCCTTGTTACCATCTCGGTTCCCAGGTCATTAGCGTCGGCTTCGCTGTTTTTGTGACCGCATCTAATTGCTGCAGGCGTCCAATGCATCCTGGCGCAATGCAGGATTCACTGCGCTAACAAGTTGAACATATTCTCTGGACTCTGCTCACTTGGCGTATGTTCTGCTCCTGTTCGCGGATTTCTGATGGTTTTTCTAAGCCTGGGAACCTATGTTTTTACTCAGAGTATCCATATGTTGCCAAACACAGCTTCTAAAGAAACCACTTTTAGAATTTTAGTTTGATATGATTTTAAAACTGGAACACCTTTTATTGTTTTATAAAATTATCTATAAATAAAATCATTATATTTTGGCTGTGATTAATGGTCTGTATACAAATTATCATTAAACTGCTAATGGAAACTGATTTTAATGGGGGATTGAGTAATCCAATGACTTGAAATGTTATTCCCAGTTTGGAATTGAGACTGAAATGATGAAGTCATTTTACATCACCTTGTGGCTTCTGCTTTTCGAGGTAACTATGTAAGTTCCCCTCTTTCACTGGGATTTGAGAACTCCTTTATTCCAGGGCTGTGTATTTGAATACACCTCAAAAACCACAAATATTGTGTGCCAGCCCAATGAGAAGTACATAAGTGACACCAAGTGCTCTCTCAAGGCAGTGAGTTGGGAAAAGTCCCTTATTCAGATGGACTGTTATCTCAAGGTGCCGCTTACCAAGCCAATTGTAAGATACTAAAAATATATTCTTGTAATTTGGATTTAATCAAAACGTTTACAGATACATTTTGAAGTGTTCAAAAAGGATTACACCAATCAGTATCAACCGTTTCTGATAAATATCCGTTTTGCGATATAATATCCAGAAGGAACTTTCTGCCCTACGGCGCTCAGATGTGGAGAACTTTGAAGAAGTTCTCCAATGTCAACCACTCCTGTCCCTTTGTTGTAAATACCTTAACTTAGACTTTTGTGTAATTATGGAATCTTTAAACTTTGATTACATTTTTGCAGGGTCACATGTTTGCTCGCGACATGACCTTGGAATATTTTCGCTTTCCTCCAACTATGCCCACGGGCAACTTTTTGACCATCCTAAACTTCATGGAAACACTGCCGCAAGGCTCTAGGGTTTCCTATGGCGTGGTGAAGTGGTATTTCAGGATTAATCAAAAAGAATTTAATTGAAATTATATTTTTAAAATATTAATAAAGTATTTTTTATTAACTTCTATTGGTTATTCTATTTTAAGTGGACTATTCTAGCTTAAAAATACTTTTGAGTTTGTATATTTATAGTGTCAAATTCGGACACACACAGAGATATATGAAAAAATATATTAATAAAATAATATAAACTCAAGAGACGATATCTGGGAGACCCAGTAATAAATTTTCAAAATTTTAAAAACAGATTTCTAAGGTCAATAACTATTCTTAAGAAGCCGTAACGATTATTTAGAAAAAAATAAGCACTTTAAAGTTCAAATATTTTGAAAATCTAGTATATGTATATGTTTTTAACAATCTATTATTATGATTATTGTGAGAACATGACATATTTTTTTTTATTATAAATAATATTTAGACATACTTAATGACCTGTAAAGAAACTAAATGTTAAAAGCGTTTAAATTACGATTAGGTCTACCAAAAGTGTTTATTATCTCAGTTAAGGGCATACAACCCAATGATTTTATTTCTGTCTGTTAACTATTTTTACATCGAGTTTTTAGATATTAAGAGTATAAGAAGAACAATATTAAATATTTATTGTAGTTAAGTTAAATGCGTTAAGCCAATCAGTTGGGAAAATTCTGTAATTCAAATTAAATGTTTTCTTAAGGAAGTCAAAATAAAACTTACAATGAATCAAATATTTTCTTTGCAGGAACACCTCGATGTTTTTAAAAAAGATTACTCGAATAACTATAAACAGTGTTTGATCAGTGTTATATTTACCTTTAATAAGTGAAGTAATTGAGGATTGAAGCCCAAAACAAAGGCGAGCTGAGACACCGAACTAAAGGTAACAAAATATTCAATTCATTTAAATATTATTATTATTCGAAAGCATTTTAATAAGACTCTACTTTAAGCAAAAGTAAAATTCCGAAAATGGAATAGTAATTTAATTTGATAATCCCAAACCCAAGCTACATCCTAGTTTAAATAATTCTCAATACCTTTTGGTTTGACATAACAATTAGATTTTTATTGAAACATTCAGCCACACATTGCATGCTAATATTAGGGGATCTGTAACTTAGCCATATATAATATATTACAATGAGCAAACTGGAGACCCCTTGGGGTCCATGGAAAATACTGAGAATTGAGGGAGAAAAGTGGAGGAGTTCCAGTTATATATTTACGATACGAATTGCACTACTTTTAAGGCTAAGGGAAATGAGAGCGGAGTTTGGGGGAAACTAAAATTAATATCACAATCGAAAATGGGCATTACGGACTAGACCAACGAAGTGCTGTGGTGATGCGGGGTGGGTCTCTGGGGGAGTGGGAGATCTCTTAAAAGTATCCGAAGAAGTGCTTCGATCATTTGGGCATGCCTCCCATTCGACGGCCTGGCGGTGTTCCACCCACCACGTTAATGATCTCATTATCGCCGACAGCAGCGGCGGCCGAAGAGGAAGCATCCTCCAGCTGCGGCTGGTGATCGCTTGCCTTGTCCTGGTGGGCGGTCATGTGCCGGGTGAGATGGTGGCGCTCGCGGAACGTCTCCTGGCAGACGGGACAACGCAGCTTCTCTTCGCGCTTGCGACGATTTGGATCGCAGGCCACCTCGCTCTTGTGATGGGATCGCATGTGGTAGACCAGGTCGCTGGTCATCCGGAAGCTAATGTTGCACTTGGCGCACACATTCTGGGCCGTCAACGTGAAGGTGGACGCCAGGGTGGGTGGAATCAGCGTGGAGAGTATGGCCGCCGCGGCGGGATTCTGCAGCGGCTGAGCCACGGCAAAGGGATGCGGAGGTGGCGCAAATCCCGGATAGGCGGCATGCAGAAACTCCGGCGGCGGACCCGCTGGCGGCGACGAAGGATTCCCCGGAAGCGGCCCACCACCATTGGGATTCCCTCCCGGTCCAGGGGGACGTGTGTAGAGCAACTGCTGCTTGAGCCGCTGCTGCGCCTGCAGTGCCTGCATGGGATTCACCGCCTGGAAGGCTCCATTGAACTGATACTCCGGCCGGAAGTTGTGGTACACAATGGGATTGGCTGGCAGGGGATTCTGCGGATTCTGGCCACCACTGTTGGTCCTCGGCGGCGGTGTTACTAGCGGTGGACTCATGGAGTGGCAGCTCAACTGATCCGGACTTAAGGGTGGAGCACCCACATCCACTGGCGACTCCAGGCGCGATGTGGTCGAGGGCGACGAAGAGGCAGTGGACAGCGACGAGGAGGCCACCTTGGTAAACGCACTCCGCATGGGCGGTGGTGGTGATGCAGATGCCGGTGCCTCCGGGGAGTCCACCAGGGGTATGATCACACTGGGATCGTCATAGACCCGCGGCGAGCGGATGCTGATCTGTGGATACCGCTGGCGGGCCTCCAGGAGGCTGATGTACTCCAAGGCCGCTGGCGAGGGTGGCTGCGAGGATGCTCCTCGCGGAGACAAATCCGTGGGGTAGTGGTTCATCTGCTGTTGGTGCTGTTGCTGCTGCTGGTGGTGGTGCTGCTGCTGCTGTTGGGGGTGGTGATGCTGCAGCAGTGCCTCCTGGAGGCGGGCCTGCTTCTCCGCCTGCTTCTGTTTGATCCGTTCGTCGGGCATCATGAGAAAGGCCACATCAAAGGCGCGCTTCAAGGTGGTCTTTCCACCTGCCGAAGGCGATGTGGGAGTCTCATTATTGTTGTTGTTGTTATTGGAGGTCTGCTGAGCTGGAGGCTGCTGCTGCTTCGGCGAGGATGTGGATATCCTTAGCTCGGCATGCTGTGGCGGCGTGGAGCGACGCTGGCCAGGATTCGCGTGCGACGGCATGCTGTCCATCAGCAGATTCATTTTCACTTTCACTGAGTCTTTGGTTAATTTCGGGTTTTTGGTTGGCTTTCACTTGGACTTGGTTTCTCGGGGCTGTTGCTCGCCTCTCGAAGTTCCAGTTTCGACTGCTGGCCGCCCGCAATCTGTTCCTCTTTAAGTACCCGCCAACTGCCACCACCGCGTCCAGTTGGAATTCCCGACTTCTCATATTGTCCCATTCAAATGGGAGCAGCCACTCTCCGTACTTGGCCCATCTGTCCTGATTCTGCTCGGCGTCTGTTCAGATTCAGGTCCTGCAGAGAGCAGTTAGAGTAGTCACCACCCTTATGTTCCAGCTCTCGCTCTCGCTCTCTCGGACCAGCGCTCTCTTTCTCCTGGTCTCTCTCCCTCTCGCTCGCTCTCTGGAGTCCATCTGCTTTGCCAGTTGGCGAACATATTCTGTGGTTTTATTGTGCCAGCCACGGCCAGGACGAGTCCTGGTTGGCTAGGATCCCCGGACAGGTTGCTCTGTTCGAAAAGTTTCAGCATTGCAACATTATGTATGGCACAGTGGGTTGAAGTCTGTGAAGGATCTGTGAAGGATTTTATATTTAACGGGGACCTTGTATTATTTTATACTAGAAGCATACATTTAACGTATTTTCTTGGTAAATTTTGATGAATAATGAAACACAGACACTGTATATTATTCCTTTTTTCGTTTATATTTCACATTATAATAATTTTACATTTTATAAGATAAAAAATTACTAGATTGGCTAAATTTTACATATTTTATTACATAGAATTAGCATCTGGTGTTAATTTATGAGTATTTTAAAAATATATATTTTGATGTAGCTACAAATTATATTTAAACGAAACGTTAAGGTACGCCAAGCTTATTTCACAACAATTATGGTTTTTAATTTAGCGACGACGAGTGTCTATATAGACAATGCTCTTATCAACACAGACCGGAACTAAAGAGCATAAATTATATTTTTTAGTTGCATTTAATTTGCTGGTGATTTTTTTTTTTGTTATTGTTTTAAATTGTTTTTTCTTTATTATTTTTTATTATTTTTTTTTGACTGTGGGTTTGAGTGTCACACACCCTTTATGGTTTTCTTTGCAAATGCTTTTAAAAACATTTCGTGGGTCATCTTCTTGTTTGGTGACAGATTCTTCTGGTTCCCGTTTTCCCACACATGATTGGCAATTACTTAAGAGTTTCGTTTGCCGTAGTTTTAAGCAACACTTGTGATAGTCATTGTCCATCCTGATTGTGTTTTCCCAATCGACGGAACGATCTCCAACGATCTCGTCTAGGCTCCAGAGCAGCAACACCGCGAGGAGAATAAAGACGAACCGTGCGCTCATGTTGACAGCAAAAAATCGACTGATAATTACCAAATTTTCGGGGCCGAAATTTATAGGAGGCGTTGGTAGGTATATGCCCTACACATAGGGTATTTTCGTTATGAGAAGTAGGTTGTGAAACTTTGCGTCGTTATTTTAAATATACTTACATATATATATGTATCCTTGCAGGGTTCTATAATTTTATTTAGAATATATAAATATATATATATTTTATCAGCAACAAAAGTCAAGGCGATCTGGTCATTTCCCTCTGTCCGTCTCTTCCTAGTTCCTTAATTTTAAAACTACATAAATTGAACTTTGCAGATAGTCTGCTTTCTTTTTACAAGCCAGATAAGGAATAATCGGTAACTGTAGAGGAAAATGCAAAACTTTAAATGTAAAAAAAGTTGGCATTACTTTGTTTGAATGGATAGATTCTTAATGATGCAATCGCAAGCAGCAAGGGTGTATTAACTTTGGCGTACCGAAGGTAGCTTTCTTGGAAAGTGAAAAGTGTTTTGACATATTGTTTATTAATTGCGTTTTAAACGAAACGTTATCATCTTATTTTGACATATTGCTAATTAGTATTTTTTAAACAAAACGTTATCATCTCGTACGCCAAACATATAAGAAAACAATTATTGTTTTTGATTTAGTGGCGGGAATCCCCAAAAAGCGAGATCATATGTTATCAACACAGTTTGGAAGTAAAGAGCAACAATTATACATTATACATATATGTAATTAATTCGGTTTGATTGGTAGCCTTCGGTGACGGGTTCTTTTGGTACCGAATTTGTCAATGCAATTACTGATGGGCTTTGTTTGGCGTAGTTTTACACATCACTTGTGGAAGTCTTCGTCCAGTCAGATTATTTTTTCCTGTCTAATGGAGCGAGATGAAACGATGACTAACCATAACTCGTATTCACAACAAAAAATGGACTGATAATGGCTACATATTTGGGGCCGCTACTTATAGGAGTAGTTGATCGATAGAGCCCGAAGCTTCGTTTTTTTGAATATATATTTTTTTATTTTTGTAAGTACAGAATTTTTACAAATTAATGATAATATTTTTTAAATGGTTATTAAAGTAAGCATTACATTTTAAAGGAAATTAAAAGTTTATGAGCAGGAATTAAATAACAATAATTAAAGTAAAAAAACTACATTATTATACAAGTACACAATTTGTTTATAATAAATAATAATAGTAATTAATTAATTGATTATTAAAGTAAAATCCACATTTTTAAGTAAATAAACAAAAATTGGTTTACAAGAAGGAATTGAATAACAAACAAATGCATTATATGTGTAAATTGTGTAACAAATAAACATAACTCGCTGACAATGAGCTGAATTTAGTTATATTATTTGTTAATATTTTGGCTTGTTATTATTTTTGTTTCTTATATTTTTGTTTTTTTTTATTTTTTGTTTGTCATTGTTGATGGGAATACATCCTACATGGGTCATTCTGCATTTTTTTTCAAGGATTCTTGGTACATCCATTTCGTCTTTGGGCGTCGTCATAACCCAAAGTTTTTGCGATTCACATGATTGACAATTGTTGTAGTAGTCCTTTTTCCGCAAATTATGGCAACAACGGTTGAACTCCTCGTCCTGTCCTTTCGTCTTCTCCCAACCGTCTGATTGTGAAAACCCAGCGATTTCTTCTAGAACCCATAGCAACGATAACGAGAGCAGCAAAAATGTGAACCGTTTGTTCATGGTGACTTCAATAGACTGACTATTGCAAAAAATATAACCTGGGAGTTTTAGCAGATCTTTATATACCATTATACAAATATATATATATATTTTATCTATATGTATATCCATTCTGAGTAGCAATTCGTCATCAAAAGTTATTATTGAGCTTAATGACTAAGCGAACTAAGTGGTGATTACTGGGAAATTTAAAATAAAAGTAAAATTGTAATAATAATTTATAATTACTCATTAATTGAAAGTTATTATAGTTCTAGGCCTGAATAAAATGACAAGGACAGGAGCTATTGTAAAATATTTTAGGACATACAAATCCCTATAGATTTAAAATCAACCAAAAACGGCACACAAAAGTATGCAATGAAATATTTTAGTTCTGAAATTCAGTTTTCTTTTTTTATTTAATAAAATAATAATGTTTTTATTAAGCATTGTGTACTGTTCCCTTACATTTTTGGTAACTTAACCTTATCTGCAATAAATTTTAGTTTATAATGTGTCCATAATACACATTATTCAATTTAAAAAATTTTATTGAATTTAAACGAATCAATTTCTGTAGGTAATGAGCTTATTTTTATAATTTATTATATAATTTTCTTAATTTACTATAAGGAACCATTTTAGGAGTGTTAGATAAGGTTTGATAAATTTTAAAATATTTTCAGTTTTTAGATAGTCCTTCAGATGTTGCTTGGTCCTCTGCCCACTGTTCACCTTCGCTGTGCAGGAAACTTTTCGAAAAGGGGCGGCGCTTGATCCTGCCCCGCTCTCGCTCTCCTTGTCTCTCGCTGCCACCCCTCAGCATGTGCTGCTCTCTCTCTCTCGGCGCCCTTCTAGTTCTCTATCTCTGTCTCCGCTGGCGTTGATATCCTTGTTGCAAGTGTTTCCGAACAGGTTGTTTTTGTCGATTTTTTTCAGCAGGCGAGATTGTGTGAATATGTGGCCATGTTTCGTGTGGTATGCTGCTGCCGGACTGTTGGATTTTGAGTATATGCTGCCCGTAGCCTTTACATATTGCACACACCCGAATATCGGAGGGGGTTGCCTGCCCCCCATCTTTGATATTTTGTTGAGCGCCGAAAGATTTCACCGGACTGCAATATTTATTTGTCAGTTAAGCTCGCTGTGTGTGTGTGGACAGTAAATATAGAAGGTATATACTGCGATGCAACAATAGCAAATTGTGCAATGTTTTCCGTTCGTTTTCCGTCCCGTTCGGTGCCCCTGAATCACCATCTTTTATTTTACTCTTTTTTTTCCTGGGCTAGACCCCAGTGTCCGGGCAGACCGGATGTGAGGATGTGGCCATTGCCAGGACAAAATATGTGTCTGTTATGGCCACGGAGGGACAGAGACAGAGACAGGGACAGAAAGAGAGAGAGAGATGGAGTCATGCACACACATTTTATTTAAATTTCGCTCCTTTTGTTGCATTCCCATTCGTTTTTGTTCGCCCGCTGCAGCTGCAATTTAATGTTTGCATATTTTCAGGTGCTAATTGTTCCACTTGCCATATGAGTTGCATTTTTAATTAATATTTATGGCCCTCTCTCTGGCTGTGCGCGTGTGTTTGTGTGTGCTGGAGCCTATAATTCGCCTGGCCGCCATGTTGGCTGTCGACGAAATTAATATTAAACACATGATTGCCTTCGGCCATGGTCATTTCATTAAAAATATTGTTTAGTTTGTGTTTAATTAATTGCCGATCGAACGGCCAAAGCTGTGGCCATAAGCTGATGGGATTAAAATAATATATTATTTACCTATAAATTAGAGGGATTTATTGTGAAAGTATAAATTATTTCTAGTTTCAAGTAAATCACTTTAGTATGCAATATTTTTTATTTTAGAAAGTGGTGCAGATTATTTATAATTTTGGGAAGTTTATAGGCTTATACTTGTAGTATTTTTAAGTTTTAAAAATGTTTTTACTTAATAAAGTACATATTATAGTGGTAATAAATATTGTATACACAT